TTTTCCAATAATAATAATAATAATATAGGTTAGTTAGGTGAAATAAGAGGTGGGTGGGGCTACGCCTGCTCTAAGAGCTGACTACAAAAGGAAAGATAAATATTCAAATGTTCACAAAAATGTAAAATGCAGGAAAATTAATCAGACCTTCCCTAATTGTTAAGTTTAATTATAGGAAGTTTGAACATTGTGATTTATTTGATTGCATCACAATTAGCCACATTTGTCATTAACACACTGAGATTCCTGCTGCACTGCAGAATCATTATTTTATCATTAGGAACACACGTTGATTATTATGGCAGAGATTCTTAATGCTTACATTTTATAGAAGTAATGGTTTTGACCAATAAAACACCTTTTTTCTACAATTAGATTTTGACAAATTATCCCTGAAGACGCTGAAGCCTTCATCACTGTCAGTTAAATGGTTAACTTCCATCGTCTTCTCTGTGGCCTACCTTCAGCAGCTGCTGCTGTGCTTTTTCTGCTATTAGGAGGTCGGTACAAACGACCTATTTGGCTGCTGGGGTTGGAGGACTTGTTGGTAAATAGGGCATTTCTTGGGGTCTATTTTCAGCTGCAGATTAATGCATGTTTGGTATGCGAGCAAATTAAAACAGCAGGGTGGTGTATGTGGGATTGACTAAAATAAACAACTCTCACGTTCAGCTTAACGAAGCATCATGCCACCCAGTGTAACAGTGTCAGCCATGCTGCCTATAATTCTGCATTCATACACCCTTCGTTTACAACAACAGATGTGTTTTATGAAACCTTCCAGATAACATTTTATATAAACCGATAGTGCTTACAGGGATATTCCACCCTTAATGAGTGAATAACACCTAAATCAACTTTTTTTTGCGGGGTCAGGACACGCAGGGTGTGACTCACCCCTAAGTGAAATTCAGTCTGTCGCCATACTCCCCAGAGTTAGATAAGTGGGGGGAAGCCTTTTGGAACCAGCCCAATCATCCTCCTGATCTGACATTATTCTGTTTGCTTTAGCTTAGCATAAACAATAGAAGTGAATGGTAACAGCTAGCATTCAGCGTGGATAAGTCATGAAAATAACTTAATGATGACTTAATGAGATTCCTTGTTGATGTCAACAATCATATTGACTGTAAATGAAAATAATAACACAAAGGACAGGAACTGATTTAGACTTGGGACTACAGTATGACATTACTACACAAGCACCACTGCATAGTGATGTGACTTTCAGGAACGAATCAAATCTTTTGAACGGCTCTTCAAAGTGAACAATGAGAGCTGAGTCCTTGTAGAGAACCGTTGATCTTGTCTTCCATTAACAACCTCTGCGTCATGAACATCGGCGGACCCCCCCCCCCCTCCCCCCCCCCCCCTTACCCAACCACACACACACATACATCGGCTTAATGCTAACAGCCCCCCCTTCCGCTACCATGGAAATCGCCCTGCTTCTTTGAAGAGAGATGTTTATTTGAACAGCTCTCTGGGGTGACCGATTCTTGAATGAACAACTTCTTTCAGAGTCCTAAGCCTCATCACTACTGCTGTAAGCCTCCGCTGCAAGGACAGGTATTCTGCTATTTTTAGTGCAACTTATTTTGCTGTTCCTTCAAAAAACCATACTGGGTATAAGCCTTTAACTACACATTTGTGTAAACGGAAGCAGATGTCCTTTTGTATTTTAATGATTTAAATGCTAGCTGCTACCATTCACTTCCATTGTTTATGCTAAGCTAAGGCAAGCAGAAGGCTGCCGGATCAGGACAATGATGGGCTGGGTACAAAATGTTTTTCCCACTTATCTACCTCTGAGGAATATGTAAACAGAATGGATTTAGTGGTTGAGAAAAAGGTAGAATGTGCATTCGTTTTGTTTCCACCATATCCAGTTAGAGGTGTATTTTTCAAAAGGGATTCTACTGAAATTTTTAACTGTTTGGTGGTTTTGTTCAGACACTGAAAGCACTTTGAGAAAATAAATGTGTGGCAATTAATGCTAAATAAAACCACAGTCCTTTTCTAACTTTGTAAATAAAAGTGCTTTTCGCCTCAATCTAACCTCAGATTGGACTCGGGACCAAAACCTCGCTAGAGCTTGCTTTATGCTTCACCACAACAACCTCTATTCATCTAAAGTGGCAAACAAATTAAACTATTCATTTACAGAGAGAGAGAAAGCCCAATTGTCTGATATATTCCAGGCTTGTTTTGCTCTTTTTGCTTGTGTTTGTAAAGCTTATAGTGGGCACCTCCAAACACTTATTAAGCACAAATATGATCTCTCTGACACTTTCCCCCCAAACAACACAAGCTCCTGCTGCTTTATTTTGCAGCTCTGCAGCTGCTCTGCACACTGGGTTTTGTTTTGCCTTTCAAATGCATTTGAATATTCCAGATATTTCTCTAGAAACTGGTCACTCTGAACAGATGTGTGTTCTGATCTCCACTGAAAAGGAGCAGACGTTTCAGAAGGAGACATCTCAAAACCTTGACACGTTGAATTACATTTTTCTGCATGGTTTGCTACAAGTATAAGAGAAAGGTTTTTTAAGGCACTAAAATTAATGAACTGTCCTTTTAAGACTTTGAAGTCCTGACACAGAGGTTATACAGGAATATGAGTCATTGTTACAAGATGGGAATAAAGATTATTACAAGATAGAAATGGCATTTTAGTGATCTAAGATGAATATTCTCTTTTGGGTTTGCTGAAGTTTTTGGATGTTTATGTCTCCGTAGGATCTATTTTATGTAATTAATATGTTTACAAACTGCTTTATGGAGACATTTGTTCACAACAGAACTTATTTTGTCGCTCATTTAATCTGCAGAAAGATTCAGTGGCTCGTCTCGATCATCATTCCCGCTTCCACGCCATCAGTATTCCTGTGTGCAGCTTGAAGAGCGCCGCAACCAGCAACGGGAGCGAAAACAGAATGATAAACAATTTAATCTCACCTTTAATCACGCTCGCGCCGAGTGGTAAGTGAATCACATGAGAGAGATGCTAAGATATTACAAGTGTGCTTAAATGGAGCATGGCCGCTGTTTGTCATTTCCACCTGGAATTAACAACAGGTATGGGTTTTTAGGCACATGTGGCAAATATGTGCTTTCAGGTAAAAATCTATTCATCACAAAACACCTGATGCATCAGTTTGGTGTGCTTTAAAGACAGTGGCACCCCTAGAAAATGTCCGTATGGGGGACTAGTGAAAACTTTTGGGTGGCACATCAAATTGCTGGGAGTGTGTTGCTTCTTCATTCTTTGTCATGAAATATCCATGTGGAAGCAAGACCTTTACCTCATGCTTGAGAAAATAAATCAGAAAAACACTTTCCTTACTTGTTTTTTTTATTTCAACATTTATAGTTTTTGAGCTGTTAAACTGTTTAATTCAGCTGTTGCTGCCTTAACAAAACCGTCCACGAAAATGATTGATATTTATACTTTTTATTAAAATGTTGGGCAGCAGCAACGCAGAATTTCATAAACAAAAACATTATATGTATATATATATATATATATATATATATATATATATATATATATATTTTATTGTTTTTGTTTATGAACTTTTTATCTACCTATTCATTATTTATTTATTGGGGTTTACGTTTATGGCTTAATTAAAGAAGATGAATGCTACGACTACGATTTATGAAAATGGGGGTGATGCTTCATGGAGGGAGGGGTGGCCAGTCAATTCCCAGGGGGGGCCTTGGCCTTCCCTGGACACCCCTTGGGGGTGCCTCTGTTTCCACACAAATAAGCAGCAGAAATTGCATTTGATAGCAGGTCAGGTGCTGTGGTCTCATTAGAGGAAGTCACCCAAGACAAGGTGGTGTCGTTTTGGAAGAACAAGGCCTGACATTAGGATGTGTCCTATTTATTACGGACCTAAACCACCCTCTCATTTTGAGCTCAGATCATATTAAACGGTATGACTGTGACAATGCAGACACAATTGTCAATTGAAGCTATTTCCTGAGGTTTTAACATAGACTGAGTGATAATTAGTTTCCCTTTGTTGTCCTTATCTCTTACCTGCAGAAATGGCCAATTTATGCAGGCTGCACCCCGGCCAAAGTTGATGCTCCCCAGAGGAGGAAAACCTCCATGTTTCAGACAATGAAAATGAACTCAGAAGTAACTCAAGGTTGATTTAAATCCATGAGCGACATGGAATTGAAGGAGACTCATCTCGCCCCCATGTTGACACAACCTCCCCTCACAATTGTTCTCATATAGGGGTACCTGCTTCGCCAAGGAGGCCCCGTGTGCGTCACCGAGATCCGGTCAAGTGAGAATAAAACTGCAAATGTCATATTGTTGAAATGCTGAGTGAACTAAATGTCAGTTTATATATATTTTTTTATAATGTCTAGGAAATGAGATTGATGCACCGTTGGAGGCGAAAGTGATGGCTTGCATAAGGCAGGTTATACCAACAGCTGTGATATTTGAGCTGTGAAATAAGCCTTGTTTCTTTCAGAGGAGTGATCAGTTGCCTCATGTCCTTTACGGAGATTATCCTGAAAACATCCACAGTCTGTCTCCTCTTTTCATCTCGTGATTGAGTTTTCTCCAAACCGGTGATGACAACATGGGGTACAACAGAACAGGCAGGTGTGAGTCTGTTGTTTTTAATAATTAAAAGGACTCTTTGTAATGAATACCTAAGGAGCTTCAACGACACCAAGAGCGCAACACTCTCAGTTCTCCAAACATTTTATCAGTCTCACTTTTATATTTTTCCACACCATGTTGGCCATCTGTTCCACTTCTCCCTTTTCCCACCCACCCTTTTGGAAAAAAAATGACCACTTGTCACGTCCTCCCTGCTCCTCCTGCATCCTCATGCCAGACACATTTCATCAATCTATCTATAATCCCCAGTTCACATCGACACGTATTAGAAACAACATCCACCAGCACCCCCCCCCCCCCCCCCCACCCCCCACCCCCATGCTGCTGCTGCTGCGCGCACGCATCAGTAAATGAATCACGTAGCACTAGAACAGCCCTTCTTCATGCGATCTTGCCAGACCTATTGGAGAAACTCCCCCCAAGGCAAGATCTGTCACTCTTCACTCATTCGCTGGAAGACGATCAGAAACTATGTTAAATGCGCCAAGAAACACACAGGAGCGTGTTGTGCAGCCTTCGAGAGGTTTCCGGTCAGATCGACTCACTGAGAGGGGAGCAGGTTTCAACAGTTGACGCGGAGAGAACTGTGAGCGCAGGAGAAGCGATTCATTCTGATTATCTGAAATCTTTTTACCCCTTTTTTTATTCTTTTACGCATTTTTGCGTGTCAGAGAGGAGGGGGATTGTCTGAATGAAGGATGCAAGGGCGCTGGGTCCAATTGGACTGGATTATGGGATTACTGGACTGATTATAGGACAATCATCGGGCAAAAGTCGCTGCCGTGCTGTTGATGGTCTTGAATGACGGGAACACAAAAGGTTGGACAGGAGGATCAGCGCTTTTATTCCACTTTGTGGCATGGAGAGGCTGGATGTGCTGCACGGACGCAACGCGTATGCAACAGTGTGCCGCACAGGGGGAAAAAAGTCCATGCATTGTGAATGGTAACATCGGGGGCAGTGCTGCATTTGGAATGGCCATGTCAGTGTTTGCTGTAGCCTAGGTGTTAATGTCGCATGAGGGCAATGCGCTTTTGTAAGCCGCACGGTCTGAATAACCTTCACAACGCGACTCAAACGCTTTAACCTTGAATACGTTTGGGAATATTAATACTTTATAGTCATCGATTATTCATCAGGAGAGGATTAATAACAAAAACAAAGCAATTCTCGTGTAAGATGCGTGGTTTCATATTTTATTCATACATCAGGAGTCGTCTAGCGGTCATCTTTGTTTACAGAAGAGTTCCAGATAGGCACATGAAAAAGAGGTTATTTAAAACAGAGAAGGCTCATGAATCAGTTTAATACCTAATTAGTGTGAGATCGGTGTAAACCACATGCCTGCTTTGGGTTTAGTACTCTAGCTTTGCTGTAATCAACAGGTTGAAAGTCAAAAGGGTTTTTTTTCCCCCTGTCTACCACTGCTGCATATCTAGTTGAAGGGATGCGTCTCTCTGTTCCCATTTTCCTTCTTCTCTGGGTTAAAGCCCTGACATTGAAGAATCTAAATTACTCTGTCCCAGAGGAGCAAGGACCTGGAACCGTCATAGGGAATATCGCGAAAGACGCTGGCTATGGGACCATCGAGAGGGGAAAAAAATCCAACTTCAGGGTGCTGGAGAATTCTGCACCACACCTGGTGGATGTTGACCCAGAGAGTGGACTAATTTTCACCAAACAAAGGATCGACAGGGAGACGTTATGCAGGCGCAACCCAAAGTGCCAGCTCTCCATGGAAGTGTTTGCCAACGACAAGGAAATTTGCATGATCAAGATTGATATACAGGACATAAACGACAACTCTCCCAGTTTTCCCTCAGATCATGTTAATATTGATATTTCAGAGAACGCAGCAGCTGGGACACGTTTCCCTCTGACTATTGCACATGACTCCGACTCAGGAGAAAATGGGATAAAAACCTATCAGGTCACAAGAGATGACTACAATACGTTCTCTTTGGATTTAAAAGTGAGGGGTGATGGGACTATATACCCAGAGCTGGTGGTTCAGAGACTTCTGGATAGGGAGGATCAGAGCCATCACACCCTTCTTCTCACTGCAATCGATGGTGGGGAGTATCCAAGATCAGGCTCCATGCAGATCAATGTCAGAGTGACTGATTCAAATGACAATAGCCCAGTATTTGATAAATCCTCCTACGTACTAGAGATTCCTGAGAATTCACCTCCAGGAAAAGTGCTTATAGACCTGAATGCCACAGACCAAGATGAGGGAAGCAACGGGCAGGTGGTTTATTCCTTTACTGGATATGCATCTGAGAGAATCCAAGATTTGTTCGCCATAGATCCAAATACTGGCGTCATCAGGGTCCAGGGTGAAATTGACTTTGAGCAGAATCCAATCATCGAGTTTGATGTTCAAGCAAAGGATATGGGGCCCAATCCCATTCCGGGCCACTGTAAAATCACAGTCAAAGTGCTTGACAAAAATGATAACTCACCAGTAATAAGTTTCGTCTCTGTTCGACAGGGAGCCATCAGTGAGGCGGCTCCCCCAGAGTCCGTCATAGCTCTGGTCAGAGTGACGGATAAAGACTCGGGCCGTAACGGTCAGCTCCAGTGTCGGGTGCTGGGAAATGTACCTTTCAGACTGCAGGAGAACAATGATAATTTTTACACTCTGCTCACCGATAAACCCCTGGACAGAGAAACGAAGGACGAATTCAACGTTACAATTGTAGCACGAGATAATGGGATTCCTTCTCTTAACAACACAAAGTCTTTTACTGTGAAAATCTTAGATGAGAACGACAATGCTCCACGCTTTACAAAGTCTCTGTATGTGCTACAGGTGCCTGAGAACAACATCCCAGGCGAGTACCTGGGCTCAATTTTGGCCCACGATCCAGATGTAGGTCGAAATGGAACTGTGTCATACTCCATATTGCCATCCCACATAGGGGACGTTTCAGTGTACACCTTTGTGTCTGTTAATCCCACCAACGGAGCCATTTATGCGTCACGTTCTTTCAATTACGAGCAAACTAAGTCCTTTGAGTTCAAAGTTCAGGCTAAAGACGGAGGCTCTCCTCACATGGAGAGCACCTCCACAGTCAGGGTCAACATTCTTGATGTGAATGACAATCTTCCAGTTATCATTTTACCTCTTCTTCAAAATGATACCGCTGAAATCCCAGTGCCTAGAAACGTGGGTATTGGGTACATCGTTGCTACAGTGAAAGCAGTGGACCATGACCACGGAGAAAGTGGACACTTGACTTACGAGATCACAGAGGGAAACGACGACCACCTGTTTGAGATGGATCCAGTGGGAGGAGAGGTCAGAATCGCCCACACTCTCTGGGAGGAGATCGCCCCAGTGGTTGAGCTGGTGGTGAAGGTAACTGACCATGGCAAGCCCCCCTTATCTGCCGTGGCTAAGCTGATCATTAGGGCCAACACAGAGACAGCAGCAGGAGGGGGTTCCAGCTCGAGCGGGGAACAGCAGCAATGGGATGTGTCCCTGCCCCTCATAGTTACCCTCTGCATTATCTCTGTCATGCTCTTAGCCGTCATGACCGCCATCGCTGTCAAGTCCAAGCATCAAGATAAGGAGAATGGGAATTATAACTGCCGCATGGCTGAGTACTCCAATCCTCCAGTGGGGAAGGGGAAAAAGAAAAGGATCAACAAGAGTGACATCATGCTGGTGCAGAGTGAGATGGAGGAAAGAGATTCTGCGAGCCGGATGAACGTGGTGAGCAGCCCTTCCCTCATCACCTCACCGATATGTTTTGACTACCAGAGCCCTTTGCCCCTCACGCTTCCCAGGTCAGAGGTCATGTACCTGAAAACCACCCCGAACAGCCTGACGGTGCCTAGGTCAGGGTGCCACTCCAGCTTTTCTGGGCTGAGCTCCGACACTCCAGCAAATAGGATGTCAGTGATACAGGTAAGGAGGATCCTCCGCTATATTCTTATCTGTCCTTCATTCTCACTTATCTGCACACACTGCTTCTGCACACAAATCTGTCAAAAGAAAAGAAAGTGACTAAAAAGAGAGAAAATGTCTCGTAATAAGAGTTTTTCTCGGTTTTAAAGCTATAGTACAGTCTCTACGTGCATAGTTCAATATGACAACCTCCTGTTGAACTGTAATTATGTGTTTTAAATATCTGCACTGAAAATACTCTTTTGCTTCTGTCTGCATTTGAGAATCACTTTCAAATCGCTCCGCTGTTAGTCTTTCCTTGCAGAATGGCACAGTTGGTCTTCGTAATCTGAGAGTCCACTCAGTTAGACATGCAAACAGTGTGAGTCTTGAACAAGGCTGCTGCAACCCTGCCAGATTCACTGCCGTAGAGCGAAAACAAAACCTTGCCTGAAATGTGGGATTGGACAGGTGTTTGAGCAGCTTGTCTGATCACATTACCAAACCAATGCGCACCAGACAGCTAGATGCACACAGCATAACCTTACAATCACATTTTCATCCCCCCTCCTCCAGAAATATGGGCCATATTCACCCATCCGCATCCAAAGTTGGCACGATAGGACCATCAGTAGGTTCCAGCCTTGCCTTGTAGAGATGGCAGGGTTGGGTGCCGAGCCAGCTAACATGCTAATTTGACAACATGGGCTTGCATTACTGTTGTGCACAGCAGAATTATCTGATGCAAATGATGTAAATATCCAGTACGGTCTCATTTCAAGATGATAAGACCTACGACAAGGCTTGGCACTGTCACCGATCACTAGGGCATGTGGGCGGGATCAGCACGAGCACATTACTTTCAACATAGAGGCCCTAATGACAAAAGCTAATGCTAACTCTGTGCCTTGCCAAGGAGAACACATATGGCCACAATGGTTATTTGCTGCTGTTGTGCTGTCCTCACTGGCAGACGCCCATGGTCGTTTACAGATATCATCCGGGTGTCACCATAAACATGTTAAAAAGTCCAGAATCCATTTATTTTGCTTTCTGAAATCTCATGCTACTTAGGCTTGTTGTTCAAAAGTGGTCAATGCATATTGTTGTTTCCCCCTTTCATTCCTAGACGGAAAATTTCTCCTCAGAGCCCAATTATTCTGGCAGCAGGCAGCCATTTGTTCAAAGGTAAGAGCAGTATCCAAACACTTCCTGACTCGGGCTATCAAAGAGGGAGATTCTCACTCCGACGCGGCAGCAAGTTGTGTTTTAGTTGTCTTTTTCTTCTGTTCTGCTGCAGCTCAACATTTAAGGATGCAGAACGAGCGAGCCTGAGAGACAGTGGCCATGGCGATAGTGACCAGGCTGATAGTGACCAGGATACTAATAAAGGCTCACACTGCGACACATCTGCCAGGGAGGCCCTCAAGATGAAAGCAGCAGCAGTTAATGGCCAGCCTTTTGAGAGGGGTGAGTGGACGTCTTCAAGATGCCTAACTGACTCTTGTACCGGACATAGTTTGAACTTAATGCCATGAAAAGCGTGCATACAGTATTGCGGACGTTTAAGCAGACGTCTACCAGCTTCTAGATACAGCCAGTGCAGAGACTTCCATCAGAGTTATTAGAAGCTGTAGCTGCAGCAGGATATTTTGTTCAGTTTTAGGTTACCGACAGCCGGGGATGGGTTTCAGAGATAACATGACGGCACAGAAGTGAAAGGTAGATGATAGTTTAAGGATAAAAGACGAAATGTTAAAAATTCACACACCTTCTGAATGATTTAACCATCAAACGGACTCGCGTGCAGAGGAAAGTGTTCTGCAGTCTGACTTTTATTTTTTGATCAAGTCAATGTGTGAACTTAGATTTGTTGCATGCATGTCTGAAATAACACAACAGAGACAAGAAAGCATGATAGACACATGCAATGCCAAAATGACAGATACTTCTGGTGTAACATGACAGACTGTTTCTGCTTTTTGCTTGGAAAGTTTCTCTCGGTTATTGGTTTTTTTCTGCCACTGCTCTGAGAGGGAGTTCGCGTTGCGACTGAAAATAGAAATGTTACGTTTTGTTTCACAAATCTGAAGCGATCTGCGCCACCACGAGCATAATCACAGACGACTGTCAATCTGTTGCCACCCGGCTGACCCGGCAGAGACTGATATATTTAGCTTATTGTGGATATAAACTGAAAGCATGAAAGCAACTCTCACTGGTAAGATAAAAGATAATGGGGGACCGGAGTGAAGTGGTGATGTTTTTCATTTCCTCGTCTGCGTCTCGGAAGAGAACGGCCGTGGTCATCATGTCCCTATGCGGCATTTTCCACACCATTTACATTGCTATGAACTGTTTGTTTGCAGCATGCTCAGGAGGGCAGAGATGGAAACACTCTTGAAGCTGGCATAAGGATGCACAAATCCCTCTCTATCTGTCTCACTTTTATGTGTGTGTGTGTGTGTGTGTGTGTGTGTGTGTGTGTGTGTGTGTGTGTGTGTGTGTGTGTGTGTGTGTGTGTGTGTGCGTGTGTGCGTGCTGCGAGGAATTATGGCAGACCAAACTTGACTCTGTGGGAGGTGTAAATTCAATCTCTCCACTTTTTTTTCCTCCAGAATCTGATTCAACCAAAGTTCTTAGGCTAGTCACACGGAGGGATATTGAAAGAGATGCTGTGTGCGTATGAAACCAAATATCCACTCGTGCAGCAGTGACACTTGCTTGACTGCAATCTCAGTAAATGTGTAGACCTGGTTTTCTAAGAAAACAGAAATCCAATCAAGTGGGGCAATGCTTTTAATATCTGAATGTTTAGCTAATGTCTTTTCTGTTTGTGAGTGAGAAATGTAGTTATAAAAAACTCTCTAATGGGTAGAATAAATTGGGTTCTCACTGATGGGGTTGGTCAGTTGTACATTAAACGGTGTCGGTGTCTGCATACGGGAAGATGGAAGATCCACATTATGCGTTTTGCCCTAGAATCGATCACACAAAAAACATCTCCCGCCTACCCACACACTTCCTCAGTCTCTTGTTCCCTCTTACACACACACACACACACACACACACACACACACACACACACACACACACACACACACACACACACACACACACACACACACACACACACACACACACACACACACACACACACACACACACACACACACACACACACACACACACAGGTATTGAACAACAATCCACTATTTTGCAGATTTAGACAAGATAACGCTATTTTCCAAGATGGAGACGCCACAGAATTTCTTCTTGCTCTTTTTCGTTCCAAATGCACCAACACAAAAGCTTGCAGGTTAAGTAGTATTGCTTTTATGTCTTTACCTTTACCATCCCTCTAGTCTCTAGGCTGCTTTGATACAGGTAATATATGCACCTGTGCAGCTTCCACTATCATGCACTCTGAATATTTATTCACTCTCACAGACACCAGATGTACGGCGGGTATGTTGCTAGGCTTTCTCTGATTCTATTTATAATGGGCAAGCAGCTCCTTTGTTTTTGCAAACATGTTGTTTTCCTGTTTTACGGGCGCCCGCAAGATCACAGATATCTGTCACTTTGTCAGGATTCGGTTGCACGACTACATAAAGTCATCGTGTAACACGACCATTTGAAAGTCTCTCAGGTGTTGGCTTATTTGTTGAAATTGTAAAAAATGCAAATTAAATGTTAACGATAGGTAGGAAAGGTGATGATTCTCACAAGTGCAGGCTGGTGTTGTATCATTTACATTAGACCAAGAAAACTAGCAAATAAACATTTTTCATTAAAAAGCTCAAATTTTTTGACAAATTTAAACACAATCCAATAACAAATGTAGAATAATCTGATTTTTTTCAATATAAAAAAGCTAAATAAACACCCTAATATAATCTATTTCAATAACTGTAGATATAGCAATTCTTTACTTGAGTGTTTGTAGTGAAATACACTACTACCGATGACAAAAATACCTCAGCCTGTTGTTGCTTTATCTTCTGAATACATCTCTTTGCATCAGCATCATCTGCTAGCTCCTCAGCAGAAAGGTAGCATGGAAATTAATTCAGCATCTGCCTGCTTCTCCTTGTTTATCTACTGTTCTTGCCCTTTGTGTCCATGCTTAAAAAACACACTCCTTTTTTGATTGAAGATGAAGAAAATATATTCATATTCATATGGCACAGACTTCACTGTGTTGTGCTTTAGCAACATTATTAATCCTACTTTTTACAAATACAAATTCTAAATAATAAGATGTCAACCGAGAGGTTTATGTTAAGAATGATGAATTACTATCTAATCTGACCTGTTTAACAGGACAGGAAGTATTTACTTGATGCAATAATCCGTTAAAACCAAAATAGTAAGGAGCCCTTAAAACAACGTGTTTTGTTCACTTACAGACAATTAGCGTTTTGTAGCGCTGTGCTGATGTGAGTATTGCAAATTAAATATTAATAACACCTTCACAGTTTAAATAATTATCTTAGAGTTAATCTATAAAACAGCAACTGACTTCCTGTGAGCTTTCACCAGTTACTGTATAAGAGATACGGTTTTTACAGCATCGTGTTTTTCAGTTCTGTGTCTCTGGATGGATCATTGTTTCTATGTTGGCGTGTTTCCTATTAAAACCTTTAATCGTTCCTGTGTGCCTGCTTACCTGCTTCCCTCACCCGCACATGGATCATTGCCTCCGCGTCATTCACCATCACGCGCTGACACTTTCATATAGTAACAAATAGTTCATTATGTAAGACAGTTTAATGTTGTTTTTCCATATCGGTATCGAATCGATGCCGATCGATACTAAACTTCTGACATCAGTATCGGTATCGAATATGAAAAAAGTGGATCGGTGTGTCACTAATTGGAATCATTCTTTATTGCTGAGATTTAAACAACTGATATTTTGAATAAAAACTTTCATGTTTCCTGAAAGTTTCTTGTAAATTTGAACCATCTGACGACTCCTGTAACAGCAGGTTTCACATCTCATATGAAGCTGACTGACATTCTTCCTGGAATCTAGAGAGAATATTAACTGTTGGACTGTTTTCAATTTTGCCTTTTCAAGTGCATCGGCTCACATTTATTTGAAAAGACTTTAAAATAAGACTTTTTCCCTGGTTTTGTGGAATGACCCCAGGTCTGGTTACTGTACATCTCTGACCTGCTCGTTCAAAGAAAACAAGATTTTCACATTCCTGCATAATTTAGAACATTTGAGTTGAATTGGACAAAAAAGGGTTAGGTTACTTCACTCTGAATTCAAACTATATTTTCGGTGAGGAGAAAATCACTTGCTCAATGTTCTAGTAAGTGTAAAACATGATTGTTGCATATTTGGTTTAATAATGCACGATTAAAATGACTTAATAAAGACGTTGGTCCTGCCTTTGGGAGTAGGACTCATGGCTCAGCTCAGGAGGTAGAACGTGAACGTGAGTCACGCTGTCTAACAGCTAACGCGGGATCATGAAGGGCGTTCAGGGGAAACAAACTTTTTCAAAGAAAGAGATTTTATGATGTAAACCCCCCCTGAGGGCAAACGGTTCCTTCTAACATTACTTTTTAAACGTAAACGTTACATGAAACGATCAGCCATACGGTGGGTCTTAAATAATACATTTTAGGTCAGAAATCACTGACTGAAAATGTCATAAACTGGCTTTCAGACAGCTCAGGCTGGCATTAAATCTGCTTATTAAGGTTTAGAAAGAGATCGCTTTTCCAGTCAAGATGCATCTGCTTAAAACTTTGCAGATTTCTCACTAAAACGAATCAGGAAACACAAAACAGTAATTACATGGATCGCTGTTGTTACCGCAAATGTGAAATTGTGGTGTTTTGTTCAGGCTGCAGAAACACCGACTTGTATTTATGTAAAATAAATTGCAATAACTGTCTGTTCACCCAGTTGTAAAGCAGAAAACAGAATCGTTGTTTTCTTTGCACATTAAAAACAGCCTCCTTTTCCAGGCTAAATAATGATGCCTGCTATTAGGATCTTGAATGGCAGATCACCCAAACAGATTAAACCTTTCAGAGAAACAAATATAACCTAACTGACTTTGTGTTTTAAGGAAAAATAATGTTTGTTCTCCACCACTTCACGTCATTAACAGTTTTGATGTAAAATTAACAACACAATTTAGCTCTGTCCGGTCTAGCATAATTAACAGTTTCATGGTACCCTGTGGTTATGTGTGGGTGCATTTGTGTAGGTGTTAATAGACTCGAGCAGCAGTATGTGATAGTTGTGGCATGTACTTTGCAAACAGGCTTGTGTGGTGCTGATTTCCCACTTCTCCTGGGAACTGTGGCAGCAAGATGGCATCTGTGTTGTTGTTTTTTCTGGGTTTTTGTGCATCCTTCACCTAACTCGTGCAGCCTTGTGCTTCATGAAGGTACCGGTGCCCTCAGCAGGATGCTCGAGCCACTGTTTTTTTTTTTTTTTG